ATGTTTTTAATCAGTAAGCAGAGGTTGGTGGTGCTGTGAGACTGAGGTGAGTCTTCTCAGGAGACTTCAGGCTGTAATTAGTGTTATTCTCTGAACTCTTAGAAACCCAYATCCCTGGGCCTCGGTCCTGATCCCAGAGGGTTAATTACCATCAGAAACTGTTAGTAAATGTTTGTTAAGGATCGTCTCACCACGGACCTCATTAATGATCGCCTTTGTTTCAAAAACATTAACACTCAATCGGCAGCTGTGGCAATAGGAAAAAGCTCTGATGAAACTGGTGGGCCAATACAGAACCATGTGGTCCACTGAGATCCCAACATGCAACAGTTCTGAGTTTCTACAACAAAATTTAAAACAAAGTCTTCAGAGAGAAACTCTGGAGGTGAAGAGTTTTTTTACACTTTCAACCAAATATTTCTAGAATCAAAGGAAAAGCACACCTTGGGATTCCCCCAGAGGAGCTGGTCCAAGTGTCTGGAGAGAGGGAAGTCTGGGTCTCTCTGCTTAGGCTGCTGCCCCCGAGACCTGACCCTGGATAAGAGGAAGAAAAGGGACAGACGGATGGACGGACAAAAGAAAAACAATAATGACCAATAAGCAGAGTCTAACCCTTTACAGACCCTCAGAGAGATGTTACAGTGATGCAGCAGATACTGAATGTAAAAATCATCTGTGGTCATAAAACTCATTGTGTGCGACAATGTGAGCAGAAAGGCTCTCTTCTTTTTTAGAAATCTCTTTTTGAAGTGCACAACATTTTTAATGTGTAAAGTTATATTGGCCAAGTTCAACCAATATATGGATGGATGGATGGAAGGAAGGATGGATGATGGATGAATGGATTGATGGATGGATGGACTGACGGAGGATGGATGGATGGATGGACAGACAGAGGATGGATGGATGGATGGATGGATGGATGATGGATGGATGGATGGATGGATGGATGGATTATGGATGGATTGATGATGGATGGATTATGGCTGATGGATGGATGGATGGATGGATGGTGGAAGGATGGATTATGGATGATGGATGGATGGATGATGGATGGAGGATGGATGGATGGATGGATGGATGATGGATGGATGGATG